TGTCACCCAAAAAAAAAAAAAAAATAGGTTGAGCTTGGAGGCACACATCTATAGTCTTAGCTACTTGGCTGAGGTGATAGAATTGCTTGAGCCTAAGAGTTAAAGGTTATAGTGAGCTGTGATCATGCCATTGCACTGCAGCCTGGGTGACAGACTGAGACCCTATCTTAAAAAAAGAAAGAAAGAGAAAGAAAATGGCAGGCCCAGTGGCTCACACCTGTAATCCTAGCACTCTGGCAGGCCAAGGCGGGTGGATTGCCTGAGCTCACAGGTTCAAGACCAGCCTGAGCAAGAGTGAGACCCCCCACCTCTACGAAAAATAGCCAGGCATTGTAGTGGGCTCCTGTAGTCCCGTCTACTCTGGAGGCTAAGGCAAGAGAATCACTTGAGCCCTAGAGTTTGAGGTTGCTGTGAGCTATGATACCATAATACTCTACTAAGGGCGATAAAGTGAGACTATGTCTTAAAAAAAGAAAGAAAGAAAGAAAAACTAAATGAGGTTTATAAAGCAAGTCCCATTTTCTCACTATTTTCCATTATATAGTCATAACTACATTCGCAAAAGGAGATAGATGGACCAGATTCCTGAACTTCTGATGGAAAAGTGGTTATGATGCTGCAGATCTCTAATATGTACCATGCCTTGTAATGTATCAGTAACACAACACCTTCCAGAATTGCAGTTAACACTACCAATTCACTTTTCTTTTGGGTCTCTTTTAGAACATGGAAGCTGTTTTCTTTCCTTTCTCTCCCTTGGTAGACAATTCATTTGCCCTTTTATGAAGCCACAGACTCCCCCTTAGACTTCCCAGGGCTTCTCAATCATTTTACACTAGAGCAAACTGCAACACAATGTCACATTTTGCCAACAGGATTCTGCCTCAACTTGAAACTCTATTAAGGCAGAACTTCCCTTTGTATATAATTGGAGCCCATATCCACGGAGGCATGGCATAGGACCACATGCAGAGAAGTACCAGGCTCTTTGGAAGCAAAGAAAAGGTGGGGGTGGGGAGAGCAGGAAAGAAGATGGGCAGACAGGTGCAGCCCTCAGCAGGTGCGCTGCCTTCACAGCTCACCAGATGCGGCAGATAAGGAGCCGACTGAGGGGACAGTGTGTATATGATTTATAAGAGAATGGAATCACAACCTGAGACACTGGAAACAGTATGTAAACTTCACCTGCAAGGCTGTGGGTTTAAACAGGAGAATGGTAAACTCAGATGAAAAATAATTATAGATTTCTCAAGTATTTATATTACTCCCTCCCCCCTCCTCTGTTTCTTACTTTGTGAAATTTATATCCAGACTATGTCTTTCCCCTTTTTAGTCATGCATTCATTCATTTAACAAGTAATTATTGAGCACCTGCCATGTGCTGGCTTTCTTCTAAGCATTAGGGATATAGCAAAGAACAAAATGAAATCCTTGATGCTGTATAGTTCACATTCCAAGCAGGAAAGCAGACAATAAATAGGGAAATACATAACACATCACGTAGTACTAAGTGCTAAGAAGAAAAATGAAGCAGGATGAGAGCAAGAAAGAGTGGCAAGGAAGGAGGGTGCCCTTTATGTGCAATAGATGTGATGTGTGAACAGAGTGTTATGATGGGGGATTGGAAACAGACCTACCCAGAGCAGGAGCAGCAGCCAGACAGAGGGGAAGGGAGGCTGCGCCAGGAGCAGCTCACTGTCTCCTGGAGACTAGGGAGGCTGCCAGAGCTGCTGGAGAGAGAGAACAAGGGCAGATGGGGGATGGGGGCCAGTCATATTCTGGGGAGAAAGGACATTAAGGAGTTTGGGCAGAAGAATGAAGGGGCCTGACTTATAATTTCACCTAGATATTTCCAGCTACAATGGTAGAAGCAGGGAAACCAATTAGGTAATTACTGGGAAAATCCAGACCAGAGATGATAGACAGGGCAGTTGAGATAGAGGTGGTAAGAAGCATTCTCATCCTGGATACAATTCTGGAATCCCTATTTCCTTCATTATTTTGTTTTGTTTTGTTTTCTATTTTTCCTCACT